TTACTGCTCTACCTTATTAAAGGAAAAAACATTTTTTCACAATTCCGGATAATAACTTCCTTAGACTTCATTTTCTTAGTTTTATAACTAATGGCGTCACATTTAACTTTGCTTTATCTTGAAAAATGATTTATTTTGGTATGTGGTGAACAACAGGTTGGGGCAGCACCGAGTCCAACCACAGAGAAATTAATTGATTGGTTGAAACTAATTATTTTGATGGTTTTCATTTTTTTTTTTATACCAACAGGCCCTTAAAGGAAACAAAACTAATGAGTCTATTTTTAAAATGTAAGGAGTAGAAAGTAAAAAAGTTTTCTACAAAAATAATTACTGCAGTAATTAGTAATAGCAGTAGTAATTAGTAGTAATAGCAAACATTTCTACTTAAAGGTATAGAGGTGGATCATCTCAATCAGTGGTCCTCCCAAATGTCAATCATTCTGGGGATATGTTGAGGTAACGCCATGCTACGCGCATGGCGCGCTTTCAGGCGTATATCTGTGGTGAGCTACGGATTCAGACAGTCATTGAAGCTCACCTTTCTCACCGCGGTTCTTTGAAAAAGGCAGAGTGTATGAGAAGAAAAGAAAGGCCTCAGAAGAGGCAGATATATCCCAGAATGCTTTGCGTGGAGAGCTCTCCTCGCAAAGCATTATGGGATCTGCAGGCACCGCGCGGAGGAGGAGGAGGAGGAGTTAACGGACCGACAGAGCAAAAAGCAGTGATCATCTGTCTGAGCGATCAGTTAACTGAGTTCACTATAAAGTTCACTATGTAGTCCTAGTATCTAGTGATTGAGGGGTTTAGCGGTTAGAGCGGATGTTCAGACAGAATAAGCTTGTGTAAGATATGGTAACGAGCGTGCACGAGGAGAAATGAGCTCGTGCACGCTCTCGCATGTGTTTAACAGGCGCTCCCTCTCTGGAGCAGGTAGAAGGTTGTGCATGTGCAAATTTGCGAAAATCCTCCACTATACCTTTAAGTAAGGTAATGAAATATTGAAATAATGAAATAATGAAATGGAGCGAGCGCAGAGATACACATGGGATCATCAGCAGGGTCGGGGATAGTTCCGCTCCGTCAAGGTGAAGGAAGGGGGACATTAAATTGATTTAATTATTGTTATTATTTGATCATTTCTAAAATTGGAATTGTTTTATTTATTATTATTTGTTCTTTTGATTCATTTATATTATTTGTTAATT